TAAGATGCCTATTCAGCTAAGAGCCCTCAAAGTGGCAAAAACTTCAAATGCAAGGTGTTTGGATTCATTTTTGTAGAAGTAATATAATATAGGAAAGACGATTGGGAGCCCAGACCCTAGGTCTGGTTCTGTAGGACCACCTTGGTATTGTCTGAAATTTCTGTGCCACTCTGGACTCCATCTGTAAAATTGTGGGGTTAAAAAAGGTGATCTTGCAGGTCCTTCCAGAAAGAACATTTATATCTACACTTTATTCATACCACTATTGTCAAAATTGCTGTCATACATGAAGCATCTACCATGCCAGACACTATATGTAGATATGATGTTGAATTCAAACAACAATCTAGTAGGTCAGGTGTTTAATGATCCCCAATTTAAGGTAGGAGAAATATGATTCTGGAGAAGTAATAGCCTGAAGTTACAGGTAAGCCTTGGAGTGAACACATGAACACCATGCTCCACTAGACTCTTTTTGGCAGGATGCCAATTGGTTCTGAGTTCATTTTTATAAACATTTAAGGTTGCATTAGAATGTGAAATGATCCTTTGGTGGAGTTTGTTTTAGGGACACTAATGTGATAGCAATTCTGGTGTTCTCTCCCAGTTCTATGAGCCAACAGACATCTGCAAAAGCAAAGTGGCACTGTCAAAAAATGATATGAGCATTCCAATGTTGACAGACCAGGACAGATGCTTATATACTATGTTTGATAAGGTATAAACTCATCTCATTCCCTTTTTGCTATGTTATAGGCAACAGTTCTCCCTTGTGCATGCAACTACTGTGTACATAGAGACTCAGGCAGACAACAAAAAGAGTAGATATAAAAAAATAGCATGTAAAGCTCACAAAGAGGCCAACTTCAAGTTTTTGGTTCACTCTGGAAACTACATAGCCAGAGATGGCCCCTCTAAGTTAGGATATTTCACAATGTCAAATGCAGATTTACCTAGTTCTTCCTGTGTGAGACTATCAAGATACCTTTCTCCTCTCTGGTTCCTCTGGTTGGATTCAGACATACCCTCCTAAAAAGGTCATTCTCTCCACCCTTCTCCTTGCAGACAGTCAGATGATCTGCACTCGCATCTGATTATTCCACAAAAGGAAGATTCAGCCTAACATTGATAAGGGCTGGGATACAGGAAAGGCATTAATGGGAGACTCAGAGAAGGATCTCCTCGGCCACATTCTAGTATCTGTTGGGTTTTAAATAATATCAAGTAAGTGGCACCTCTAACTGCACAGATATATAAAATTGTACTGTCTTACATCACATAACATGATGCTGAGGAGATACATGATGATTCCTAGGGAGGCAGAGGAAGAAGATGCTGAAATAAAGAAATTTTAACCTTTTTTTAACTTTTTTTTTGAGAGTTTTTTTTCTGCTATAGGGCGCGTGCGCTCGCCATACAGACAGAGAGAGACATAGAGACAGAAAGGGAGAAATCACTCCCCAGGATGGGCACACCACAGACCCTTCTCCTCCATTCTCCTCTCGGGATCTTGGGCACGCTTGCACACACACCCAGCGTGAGTTCTAAGCCACCGGGTCCAGGACGCGAACTGTGGTCGACTACGTGGGAGTCCAGCGACATAGCTATTAGGCTAACTGCTGGTTCCCAAGAAATTTTAACTTTTAAACTGGATTCTATTTCCTAATAGTAACCAATATTTCTACCATCTTTCTTCTTAGATTTGTCTGTGGAGAGTCAGTTTTGGTCTTTTGGTTTTCAGGTATACCTGAAATACCTCTACAGCAATTTTCATGACAAAGCAACCACCAAATCCCTGCCATTAGATACCAGAGTCCTGTTTGACATCCTGCACAGAGAGGTGAGCATTTCCTCATTTTACCACTAGGTATAGGGAAGACATATTTTAGGAAGCAACCTGGGCAATTCAGAAGTGCAATGGTGCTTCAGAATGAAAGTGCCTATTTATAAAAGGGTCTGAAAGATACCTCCTGGTCATTTAAACTTTTGTTATTGGTTTTGGTTTTGGCTTTCTTCTGCAAAGTACTTGTAAAACTGTATTTAAAATATAAGAGATGTGAATTTTAGTTTAATTTTTAAAAAATATATCCAGAATGTGCATTCACCGATTGAGAGGGAGCACACCCTACAAAAAGTACTCTTACTGTAATAGTTTTTCATCCATTCTTCCTTCCCATCATAATGTTGGGGCACTCACACACATGTAATTTTTTATGTTTTTCAAGATGCTTGGGCTTGGTCTGGGACTTGAACCACATAGTCAGTCATGTGGGACTCAGCCACTTTAACTCCTACACCAGTACTTGTGATGGTACTTAAATATTTTAATTACTACCAGTGACATTTCCACCATTAAGGTTGCAACACTTTTCCCTACCTTTGTAACCATAAAGATGTAGCAATATATGGTCAAAGGCTACAGGTTGAGGAGGTACCAAGGGATTTACCCCAACGAGCTAGATAGTCAAATGGCAGAGATTTGAGGATTGAGTGTCAGTGTGTAGATGAGCCAAGCAAATTGCAATGAAAAGGGCCCCTGAATGAAATTTTATGGCATTTGTCTTCCATTTCTAGTTGTTTCTCCTAAACCAGAGCTTCTTCAGCTTTACTGTGCATAGGATTCCTTTGGGTATCTTGCCATGATGAAGAGTCTGGGTCACCAGGTCTGGAGAGGACCTGACATTTGCATTTCTAAAAAGCTCCCTGGTGATGCCAATGCTGCAGACATTCTTGGAGGTGCAAAGCCTTCCATAATTAACTTACCCCCTATAGTGTTAGGTCTATAGAAAGAAGTTTCCCAACCTTTATACATTATCAGATCAGCACACTCCAAACAGATGCTGGATAGTTGGTGAAAAGTAAATCGAAGACAGTATTATATCTAGAGGCCATGGAAAAAGCATTAGAAAGGCTTGAGCTATGGGTTCTCCCGACCTCCCCTCCCCCCTTCACCTGTGGAACTCTAACTATGCCAGGCACTTTTCAGAAAACAGAGTAGAAAACAGTTAAGAGAGTGGTGCTGCCCTCAGAAGGCTTAGGATCTTATGTGAGATATAGGAGCAGAGGATGGTTACAATTCAGTTGCTGGGAAAGGGGCCTACTCACTGTGGGCAGAAACCTGTCACTCAGCCTGGTCCAGTGAGGACAGGTAGCCCTCATCTGTGTCACACAACACAGATTGGAACATTTCCCTACCACCTAGAACACCTATGCCCTACAACAGAATTTTTTTTTCTTTTTAAATATTTGAACAATTCTTTTTGCTTTTATTTCCTCTCAGGTTTCATGTTCATGTTCAATAACCCCTTCTGACTCAGCGGTCACTACCAGCATAGCAGAAAAACTAAAGGCATTGAAGAGAACAGCCATGCGCCTCATCCTATGTGGCCTTAACAAGTTCTTGCAGTACACCATGAGGGCTTTTCACACAAATTAGGGCATTTCTCTCAGATTATTGTAAGTCAATGGCATTCCTTCCTCTGATCAGAAACCTGTCCTCTAGAAATATGACTGATGCCATTAAAATACTATTAATATATTGGTATTTGAATGGGCAAAATGGAGTTTATTTACTGACATGAAATTTATATGATTTTTAGGAAGTGCCATTTGAAATATTTTATGTCTGTGTTTTGTAATAATAATAAAATCTGGCTACTCAGTTCAAATATCCTGTTTTAGAGACATCATTTCCTGGAATATGCAGCCCTACCTAAAATAAATTTTTACCTCATACATATTTTTGAAAGAAATACTAATATTGCCTTTGTTAAATGTTTAAATTGTTTCTATGCCAATAAATCACAGTTGTTAAAAGAATAAACAATGAAGTCTGTGTATGAAATGTATTACTTGCCATAAACATGTTGTTACTATCATCACCAAAAAAAAATAATAAAACAACAACAACAAAATCCAGCTTATACTCATGTTGAGAAACAAGTGGGAACCTATGTTGCCTGACACCATGCTATATGTGTTATATTCGAAATATATAATTTGAGCATTTGAACACTCCTTTCTGGTATGAGACAATAAGTGTTTTACTTAGTTTTCTAGCTGGAAGATAAGATATGAGCCTAGATTTTAAATTCAAGTCTACCTGCCTCTATAAAGCCTGTTTTTTTTTGTTTGTTTGTTTGTTTTTGAGAGGTTGTTGCTTTAGGGCGCGTGCGCTCACCAGGAAGACAGAGAGAGACAGAGAGACAGAACGTGAGAAATCATCCCCCAGGGAGGATGGCCATACCACAATCCCTTCTCCTCCATTCTCCTCTTGGGATCTTGGGCATGCATGCACATGTGCCCTGCATGAGTTTAAGCCACAGGGTCCAGGACTTGAACCGTGGTCGACTACAGGGGAGTCCAGCGACATAGCCGTTACGCTAACTGCTGGTCCCTAAAGCCTATTCTTAATCTCAAGATATCACTGTCTCCTTGAAAACTAGAAGATATAGACAATCCCAAATCATGTTAATATAATTTCAAGATGCAATCAAAGCCTTTGAGATCATACAGTCTTGTATATAAAACACAGGGAAGTGTCAACTTCCAAATATAATAATAAGTAAATTTCAGACTACCAATAATAAGTAAATTTCAGACTACCTTCACTGGGTTTCTGAAATGCTGTCCATACCTATCTGTAACAACTCTTCCTACACAGTATTACATCTTAGAACTGATGGAATTTTCGACTAGTTAGCATGTGGATTTCTCAAGAGAATGGACTCTAGTGTATTCTTTGTATGCTGAGCCCAAGAACCAGGAACTGTACAAAGGTTGCCCTAGTTGAATGAAGAAAGCATATATAGGTGATCAAGTATAAGCCAACTCATCCTTTAGGGATTCAGCATTAGAAGAAATTGATGATTCTGTGCACTTACATCTCTCTTTCTAAAACAAAAGTAGCAAGAATTAGAAACAAAGGATTTCTTGAGAAGGCTTTAAAAATTTAATTATGTAGACCTACCTCAAAATTGAGTGCATTGACATCTACCTCCTTTTTCTTTCCTGGTAATATTTCTTTCTTTCTTTCTTTCTTTCTTTCTTTCTTTCTTTCTTTCTTTCTTTCTTTCTTTCTTTCTTTCTCTCTCTATCTCTCTCTTTTTTTTTTTAAGAAAGATTTTTTCACTATAGGGCATGTGCACTTGCTGAGAGACAGAGAGACAAAAAGTGATAAATCACTCCCTGGGGGGAGGAGTGGCCATACCACAATCCCTTCTCCTCCATTTTCCTCTCATGAACATGGGCACGTACACACATACATCTGGTATGAGTTTTAAGCTGCTGGGTATGGGACTTAAACTACCCTTGACTATATGGGAGTCTAGCGACATAACCATTACATCATCTATTGGCCCTGCTGGCAACATTCTTTATCTGCCCTCTCTCTTCTCTTATTGACAATGGTGTGAAGTAAGGCAATTTGGAAAATTTAACATGGTCCTACATTCCATTTCAATGCAGCCCTGAGATTTGGTGCACATTTTTCTTTCTTCTTTATTAAGGTGGTATGTTCATGTAATCCCAGTGCCTTCACAATTTACTGAACACAATTTACTATGCTTCATTTTTAAAAGCCTTGTGACATTACTGGAGGTCTCATTCCTATCAGAGATCAAGGAGGCTCTCCTTGGTAAGGGGGCACCATTGGCAGTCCCTATGCATAGGGTGGCATAGAACCAGGAAGGTAATCTGGCATGCCTTGATGATGACCACCATACTGACCATGATGTGGCATTGGGGGTGGCTCTCATTTCTTCTTGCTGTGGGATGCCTGGCTGTGGTGACATCATACTTCCAACTGGTCCAACTGATGGATTACCTATGGGTCTCTGTCCTGGTTGAAGAAGATTATGTTGATATTTAGTTAACTGTGCCGTTCTCTCTTCCAGTGATATATCCTCATCTGGATGGATCAACTTACTGGTTGCACTGGTTGTTGTAAGTGTAGCAGGCTTACTTGTTATGGAAGCTGCTGGTTTAGCTGTAGTACTATTGTTGTACTAGTTGTTGAAGCTGTAGACTGTGTAGGAAATGTAGGCTTTAGGGGTTCTGTAATTGTTGCAGGGGTACTATTTAAAGGCTTAAAGTCTGTACCAACAGGTCCTTGGACAGCTGCCTGAGCTTGTGCTGTGCTAGGAAACAAGAGCTTTAGAAGATGTAGACTTTCTGAATTGGATGAAGCTGTACTTGAACTTGTTACAGGTGTTCCCATCTGCTGGGACCAGCTCAGCATGAACACATTTTTTTGAGTGGGGGAAGGCTGTGGGTTAGAAATAGATGCAATAACAAACACACAAAAACACATAAGTATTGAAAAGTGAGAATCGGGTGGGCACAGCTTCTCTGATGGAGAAGTTGTGACCAGAACTGGCTTCAGGTTTATTCTTTTAAGGGGCAGAAAATGGGAAAAAGGGAAAATGGAATGCAAAGGGAATGGGGGAGAAGGAAGTGGAATGCAAAGACAGTTGTTTTCGAATGTAAATCATCAGAAGATGTGAAAATGACTGGTGCCATATAATTTCTCTGATCTTTTATGGGGGGACAATTTGATAAATGCCTGTGACTTCCTTTAGCCTTGATACTGGGCAGTATCAGGGTATTGGGTATCAACAACAGAAAGATAACCATTGGCAGCAGGTAGATTTAATTTGTGCACCAGTATTGGCCTGCTCTCTTATTCTAGTAAACATTTCAAATGTAATGGGTTCTTTATGTTGTTGATTTCTTTTTTTAAATGTTATTATTTTTATCTAAATTTATTTATTTGCATTCATTCACTGTACATCATTACAGCATACAAAATGAGATTTTCCATCCAGAGTACACTGTACATTGTCTCAATCAAGCACATCAACAAATATGTTATTGTCAGCAAATAATTTTCCATTTCTTGTTTTCTGTATGTTTTGCTTTTTTGCCCCCCATCCTTGATTCCCTATCTCTTACTCTCTGCCATCTCCCACTCTCCTCCCACACTGTCTCTGGTATCTATGTTTGCTTTCTATACTGCTTTCCTCCCACATTTTATTGAATTACTAAATACACCTTAATTAATCTAAATATTTTCATAGCAAACACAGCTGATATATACATTTCCATGAACACAAGTCTAACTTTAGGCATCCTATAGAGTAGCACCTAGCTGGGGCTATATATCTTACTGCAGTCATTGAATAGATTTTTTTTTCTGAAACTTTTTTTTTTTTTAGGGATTATATTCTTCTTTAATTATTTAAAAATTTTTAAACATTTCGAATGCTGTTGTAACTGTATTTTCATCCTTCTCACTGCTTGTTTTACTTAAAAAATGATATCCACTGAAAGTAGTATGTCTAAGAAGCATATCTATCCATAAATAAATGTATATATAATGTGTATATATAGATCGATAATACTATAAAATATCTCTGTAGAACCTATGCTATTAAACATGCTTCAAATATTAGGGATCAGAAAATTATCACAGATTTCTTTAGAAAACACCGTAATTTCAGATGAGTCCTTGTTTGGTCAAGTAAATCCATGAAAACTTTCTTCCAGTTTTTTATTCATCATTTATGTTCCCGCATGAGGCATTCATCTCGTCCTCACTGGAGCAGCCCAGAAGTTACATGGTTGTGAACTTTTATTGAAGGAAGAAAATTGAATTTCTGTGCCCAAAGGAGCCCAACTGGTGGCAGACTGTGTCACCTCCGTGGAATCACACAGTTTATCCAGTGAATACGATAGTCCTTGGTTGGCTATGTGGGAATCCAGTGTCTTAACCACCACGCCACCTGCCAGCTGCGAGCAAAGGGAGAAGGGCCACGAGTCCAAAGTTTTTAACAATAGGGAACATAGATTCCATTCAAGGTTGGGTCAAGGGTGGGTCTCGTGCAGTTCCGCAACTGTAGGTGAGTCTCCATGGAATACAGTTTGAGGAAGGCGGTTCTGGTAAGCAGAGATGACCATCAGTTGATGCGGCACAGCAGCCATCTTGT